TAATTAGATGCAATTAGAGATGGCGACCATGCTGGATGCGCCCCCTGCTTTTTAGACTGGAGAAAAAAGATGTGCTAATTAGGCCGGAGGCTACTTTTATTCATGTGACCTGTGGAGACCCCACGCAAGCTGTTTAACGTCACTGCTCTGACAATTAAAACGGGAATTCATTTGAATGAACTGTGCATGTTGACATAAACAGACTCCATTACATTCACAGCAGTGGGATGAGTTGTCTATGGGCCTTGAATGGCATGTGTGAATGGACAAACAGCAACAGGTGACCAGCAGAATAGGTGGTGGATAGAACTACTGTGCAGCCATGTTCCTTTCATGTCCTTTCAACACTATTCAGTGTACAGTCCATACATATTATTAGATATTGCGCCAATGAGCCACTTTGGTAAGATTTTGTGCCACAGGATTTTTCTGTTACATATTCCTTTACACAAGCTTGCACACAGTATGTGAGTATTTGACATTATTTGGATTATTTCTATCTTTAAAACACAACAACATTTGGCTTAGGTTCTATCTTTCTAGGGAACCTCTGGGCAAAACTTATTTTCTCTGTAAAAACTTATTGGGTAAAAATATAACAGTGCTTTCTATGACAATTAACCTATTGCTCATTTTGCTAGGAGACCTAAAAAACCTCCTGGAACCCCCTCAAGGACTTCTAGTGGACCCCCACAAAGGCCACCAGCGCTTTAAAAAAGACATTCAGAATTCTCCTTCCTCTGACAAATTAGCTATAAACACTTTTCATACAACCCAATTTCATATGCCATTTGTGTCACTTTGTGACCAAACTGGCCATCTCACACGTCATTTTCTTTGCAGCTGCTGCACTTTTTTTTTTAAAGCCCATAGGCACCCTGCTGTTGTTGCCTACCATCCTCTGGAGGGGGGTTGGGGGGGGGGGGGGGGGAGAAAGGAATGATGGCCCTATTATTGCCTTAGATGTGAGAGGAGAGTATCCAGGAGGAGGTTGGGGCCCAGCTTCATTGGTTGAAAGCTGCACCTTTTTAGGATCTAGCGTCTTAAAATGTGTCCCTTTTTGACAGGCCTGAATGAGTTTTACTTGCTTTTTTATGTTCCTTAAGGCTTCGGCTCAAACTGTCCCTCCAGGCCTGCTAGTCCTGCTCTGGTAGGTAAGGAGCGTACCATCTAGAATACATGGGAATACAGTTGTTATAATTGTTGTATTTTCTGTGTGAAAAGAATTTCTGAGTTTCTGAAGGTGAACTTGCGCTGGGATCCAGATAACAAAGCGAGACTTCTTCACCTTGCATACAGGCAGTGGTGGCAGTAATTTTCTTAGTGTGACTTGACCTAACCTATACAGTAATTGTAATGTGGATGTAAACACAAGATTACATGTTCAAGCATAGATATTTAAAGGATATTAAAGGATGTGATGATAGTATACCATGTACTCAAATGGGGGAAAACAAGAGTTTATTTTTTTCTCACATCATTAATGTCATCAATAATTTTCTATTTATTTGATATTTGATATTGATTATTTTGCCTATCCATACAGGCCTAAATATTTAGCTCTTTATATTTCTTGATTTAATCAAGCAACATGAAGCTTGATTTATTAGATATGATCTTGTATCTCACGCTAATGAACTTTAGTCATTTGTAATGGAGTTTTGAGAGCAAAGATTGAGAAATCTTTATCTGAAGGTTTATCTGAAATGGAAATATTTGCATTTTAAGCTGGCATGTTGGTCATAAAGTATATCTAGTTTATCCCCCTGAGTATAAGTCAGTTTGTGTCCATTCTCAGGTTTACTTTGTCAGCAGAAATATTTGATAATGTTCATTTAAGCCGATGGAAATGTCTGGAGGTAAATGGCTTCAGACTGGGTTTCCAAATTAAATGATTTCCCCACTGTGGATGGGCAGGTTTCTGATGAAAAGCAACGTGTGTGGTGACATCAAACATGGCTGTGATCCTGTACCTGGTGATAGAGCCATGAAGACTTTCTCTCCATAATACTCATTTCCCTGTGTGGCAGATATCGTTTGTGTCACTACAGAAATGCAGCTTGATTTAAGCCATGTGGACGGCTCCAACGTCTCCCTTGACAGCAGGACTTCCTGTCCTGGACCAACTCAGCCCTCTAACTGACCCTGGGGTGACCCTGGAGCCGCTTCTAATCCAGCAGTCTTGAATTTCCGTTGTTATTTTAAAATGGCCATGAACAGTCGGCTTGACCTTAATAATAATGCTAAAGCTATGCCAGAAACAAACAAAAGGGTTTATATAGCCTATAGGCCGACATAAACGGTTGTAGTGATGTTTTTCTTTTTGTGCAGGCTCCATTTTAATTTAATTATAGGCCTACTTCACCCCCCCACCCCCACCCAAACCCCCGATTTTTTGCATTCATTTTTACAATCTGAAATAGTTTTAACGTGATTGTGTGAATGAGATATGCTGCTTAACTGAATGTAGAATCATAGGGTTAATTAGCTACTGAATAGTAATTTATTAGGGACACAGGGCCTATGCATGCTTGACAAATGTAGGCTATAATAATTTAAACAGTTCTTAAAATAATTTTAAGTGTTAGCCTATATATTTACAATTAGAAGTATTTCAATGAACACATTTTTTAAAGTAGCCTAATGTTCTATCAGCCCTCTGTTGATTAAACTTATAAATAGTAGAATGACACTGGAAAAACTAAATGTAGACTCGTAGTAGGCTACAGGCAGATTTTAAAAAGGCAGAATTTGGATGATAAAATCTGAAGATTGTTGAATCAGAAACACCTTTAACTGCGCAGAATTAAGAGGCAGCGACAGGTGTGTTTTTATGTTTATATCCAGAAACGTCATTCTGTCCCTGAGGCAGCCCTTGACTCGCTGATCCTTCGGGACTGCCGGGAACTGATCAGCGCTGCTCTGCGTGCATGTTGCAGGCATGCTGCTGTGGGCTTCAGCTTACCTGTGCATAAACCTGACATTAAAAGACGCCAGTCACATCAGTCTCGTCTCAGGCTAAAATGGGGTATTAAACACTTTAACACATTTCAAAAGAAAATGTTCCTAAAGAAACGAATGCAAAGTAAAAAAAAAGATAAAAGATTCCTAAGTGATTTTATATTTATTATGAATAAAATGTGCAGGAGCCCGCTAGAATCGGCCTGAAACGGCCTCCCGTGATTGAGGTCACGAACAGTTCACCGAAATATCGGTCAGAGGACAGATGATAACCTCCCTTGATTTTTGAAGCATCTCTCGCAGTTCTTTTTTAGTAGCTTATTCTTCTTATTACTGTTGTTGTTGTTGTTGTTCTCTTCTTCTTGTTATTTATCCTGCAACTAGTGCCTAAAGCCTGAGCGTCAACAACGCATTGAATACAGGAGGACAACGGGAAAGATTTTCAGAACATACATTACTCGTGGCATTATGTAGACTACATGTTTTTAAAAAAAATTCTTGTTTATTTTTGTTGACCGATGCTTAGGAATTCAGCCGGCCTTATATGACCTTGTGTAACAGTGGCGAGATGAACTGTTTGTGAGTCCAATTCACAGCCTTGCAATAACTCGACACTCGGAATGAAACGCTCCGGGTTAAGACCTTTCAAATAATGCAGCCTATGTGAGTGCGTGTGAATGTAAAAGAGGCTTGTTCGTGGACAATCAATAGGTCTTTATTTTATTTACATTTTCCTGAAGGCGTTAAATTTTACCACTTTTATTATAGAACATGCAGATACTTTTACGGCTGCTGTTGAATAGCCTACATCATCACAGGATGTCCAGTGAAATCAATTCTAACCTGTTACCTGTCAGGAAAAGTGTACATGTACATTTTAGTATTTAACACATCACTTATTAGCTAAATTAATTTGTGACAGCATGCAAATATTTATATTTTTTGTTTTAGTTCTTTAAAATGGTTGCCTAGCTATTGATTTTTGTAATCAATTATATATTAATATGTTATTTATTTACAGACAAACAAAAATTAGGACAGATTCCCATGCAATAGCATCATCTAAAAGAAAGTTAAAAAGTAAGAAAGAAACCAGGCTGGCAGACAAAACAAGTTATCCCAGGCCCACATATCTTTACTGCATCTCTTTCATCAAAGTAACTTAAGGTTTTTTCATCCTTCTTGCCTCATGTCTTACACCTACGATAAAGAGTTAATGGAGGAGGCAAACATTTATAAGAGTAGGCCCTACATGGATATATTACAGATGTTATCATATAAACATCCAACATATAGGCTAAATACACACACAGTAATTCCTGATTGTTTCTAACTCTACCCAACAGGTAATGTATGTTTTGTAGCTTTTCGCCATAATATTAATAAGGTTAATATTTAGGCCTAATTATATTGACTAAATAGCCTAAATATTCAGTAGGCTATTGAAACCCTGTTTAGCTCAATTGGAACAGCCAGGTAATAGCATAGCAGCTTCCATTGCTTTTGATATTAGGACCCTTTGGGACCGTACCACAGTTGTTTACACTAGCTTCAAATCACATTTAGGCTACTTTACGTCACTGCTGATCAGTGAAACTTGCAGCAATGTTTTTATTTATTAAGCCATGTTTTGACTTTACTATAGTGTGCGTGTGTGTGCGTGCTAGGCGATACTTTATTTTTTGAATATCATTCTCCCTTCCAGGCAATGGTTTCACACGCACCGTTTTTGTTAATAAATTATAATTTACTGTTGGTAAGGAGCAGTAACCAATTATAATTCCACAATTTAGGTTTACTTTGCGATGCTGTAGGGTATAAAGCAGCAGCTCACATACAGGACGTGGCAATGTACATTCCACAACGTGACTGCAAGGATAGAGGCATAATCTATTGTAGATAGAAAGTTCTTATTTATGAGAACAAACAGGCTACACGGGATAAATGAAAGATGGAAGCAGCGCGCAACATCTCTCTGATTTCCTGGGCTCCCGCTGTCACTTGAACGGGTTGTTTCCATGGTAACAGACAACACAAAGACTACAGGGAGAGTGATGGCACCTGGACAATGGCGTACGAAGGGTTCACCGGCCGTCTTTCTAAGGAAAAGCAGGACTTACACGACATTAAAAATTCTGCGGCAGAGTTTTTTCGGGTTAACAGAATCCCCCAGGAGATAGAGAGAGCTCTGAACGAGCTATACTTCCACAAGCCCGAAGACGTTCACGGCTATCTGGTAGGAGTTTGTTTCCCTGCTGTAACGTTAACCCATGAGCGACACCTCGAACAGTCACACGCAAAGTTCTGCTAGCTAAAAGTCTACAATACAACACAGCAGCGTGTAGGTTAGGATAGGTAGCTAGCTACTATGCTAACTAGCTACTGTACTGTATTTGCCTGCTTTAAGAATGTTAACCTAACATTACTATTTATTGAAATATGCATGATCCACCAAATAAAACAACAAATTGGCAAGTGGCTTTTTAACGTTACTTCACATTATTGTTCTATTTTCCATCATGGTTCCAGACTATATTTTCCAGCTTGCCTACAACATCTGGTTTAACTAAGTCTACTGGAGTGGAATAGTCCTTTAAATCTGAATGTGGGGGATAATAAGTATTGTCAAATATAGATGCTTAATTGGTTAGGCCTAACAACTTCTCTAAATGCAGACCAATTTATTTTGATATATTATAGAGCAGCAGTGACAAGAAAGGAAACATGTTTTATAAATATATAGAGTATATAAAAAAGAAACAATTCAGAAGGCTCTTTAGGGGTCAAGGCCCATAACAATTCGCCTATGCCTATGTAGCTAGGTTACATCTTCTGCCAATCAGTGGTTTTATTCCCTTTCTTCTCTCCTCATGTCCTGTCACACTTGCCTATTTCAAAGAGGCTTGCTTGGAGGAACTGAGCAAGTGAAGGGAGTGAAGTGAAGTAGAGAAGACATAAGTGAACAGACTTGAAACATAAAAGCCCCAAGTTTTGCAAACAATGTCTGAGAAACAACCAGCAGCAATAAAAGAACTGCCCCCTCCCCGGCTCCACACGGAGCTTCAGGCTCATTATGTTCGATGCCATGGTGCTTGTATCGACGAGTGGCCTGATGACAGTGGGGAATATCTCTTAAGGGGGGCAGTGATGTACTTGCCCGGGATGCTCTGACCTGGGCCATGAAGCCTTGGAGAGGTATTTTTGAGAAGACGAGTCAAAGCCAGGGGGACTGGGGTCTTGGCGAGATTCCCGTCATGTCTTTATTCTGTAGTGGTCCCAGTAATATTTGTTATTACTGAAGCATGTCACATGGCACGGTTAAGCAGGACTCTCACTAACATTTTTCTCAAGGAGTACTACATTTCATGGACACAAACATGAACACAACTTTTTAAAACTCTGACCACTCTTCACAGTGATAAGTGAAAAGTGCATTGTGGCTTGTGGGACTGGATACACGATACACCGGTACCACCAACACAAACCATGCCACACTTTCAACAAGATTACTGAAAAATATTTATAACAATAACTTTATTAAAACAGATGCAAAACAGAACAAGGTTGCTTTCAAGAGGAGGCGGTTAGAACATATTGGCACGATGGCATTCGGGCTCTGGCCATCTACATTTGTCCACTGCTGATGCACTGTTCACAAACTGGAGGAGGAACAAGTGTAAATGAGTGATTAGTATAATAATATAAAATTAAATAAAAAGTATAGTGTTCATTTAATAGTATTTTGTTCTGTTTTAGTACTCTGTATAATATATGTTAATGCTATAATGTTACTATATTGATTATAATTTCATATAATAGCATAGCTTATATTTAATTCAGCTGGTAAATATTATTTACACAAATGTAGATCTCCTCTCCTGTTGTATTGTTTCTGAAGCATTTAAAAATTAATTTTAAAAATAATCCCCTCTCACACTTTTATACATCATTTTTTGTAGCTTACTTTATTTATTATACTAAATTAAAACATTGAACAATAGGAAAAGCAGTTTAGTTTATTCTTGATTATTTTTGCTGTGTGGCAAAGACGTTACCAGGGAAACACTGTTGTGGCCCCCATGCTGCAGTCCAGCCAATCAGATAGCTCTTTTCTTCCTCTCTGTAAGTTATGTCAGCGCTAAAAAAGGTTTACCAGGAAGGACAGCATCACAGTTTTGTCGAGAGCTGGAGGCAGGACCAAATTTTATGTTTGTGTTTTTTTATGCAGGAAACCCTGTTTATTCCACGTCATTCCATGTCAGCTATGGCTTGTTGCTGTGTGTAGTTTTATAGAATGATACATAGGAATTAATGGGTGTGACTATGTGGTGTCCAAACAATAATACTGTGATGATGTGTTGAGAAGAAACCCCACTTGACACTGTTCTTGATCATAAAAGTTTATTACATTAAGGAGTTCAGCATCAATTACAAGCTCTGCAGCAGCTTGGAGAGTGACCCAGTCCGATGGCCACTCTGTCTCTCTGTACATCAAACAAAGCTTATATAGGATATGTGTAGGTATCTGTTAGGTACCATAGAGGGGTTTGAGTCTGCAAAGTAAAAGGTCAAACCCATAGAAGGGTACAGTGCTATTCTGAGGTAACAAAACAAGGGGTTAGAGGTCAAATTCTATAGAAGGGTTCAGTCCCTACATAACCTCCAATCACTGCTCTCCCCGTAGAAGGTCACTGACCCTCAGTTCTGCTGCTACAGTGCTATTTTGAACTGTTATAAGTCAAATGCATACATATTGGATACTACAACTAAGAATACTGATAGCAAATCTTGTTTCCTTGGATAATGCTTTCTAATGAGACCTTCAAGTTTCATTAATTAACTACACTATTTGTATGGCTGGAAAGATGGTGACACTAAAACTAGTTTATGGGTCAGAAAGGACAGGACAAGGTAGGGAAGGAGGACAAGGATATAAAAACTTCTGTAATGTGAAAGTCAGGACTTGAGCAAAAATAGAACAGATAAGTAGCCTAAATAGAATGCAAAAAGCTTTGTCATTGTAAACTTGTATAAATGACAAGTGTCTGGAGTTTGTTGCTTTTTAGTAAACATTTCATGTTAAATTCTTTTAGGCGGTAGCAGGAGAGCTGAGCTGGAGGCTGGTGGCTGGTGCTAGGCGGCTGAGACAGCCAATGGCTTCAGAAGCCTTGAAGACCACACCTTTCTTCTGGTGACTCCACGGGACCCGGTGTTAATAATTCCAGGGTGGCTCCTCGTCCAGTCCACTAAAGGCTTGAAGGGCAGACAGGCAGGGTAGCTGTGTCAGGGAGGCAGGCGGCAAACTCACGAACCCGAGGCTAATCTACCAGAGTGCAGGCTGATGGCTTGCAAGCCGGAGGCTAGCTAGCTGAGGTGAAGGGCACAAAGAGTAAAATAATACAATAACAGTTCTAAAGTTCTCCGGCGCAAGGCGTTTTTGTATTCGACAATATATAAATATGTCTGTGGAAAATATTCTTGCATATTTTTTAACTGCTGCATATTATGTGTGTGTGTGAAGCGCCAGTCTTCTTCTAAACAATTGGTGGCTTGGTGTTCAGTGGCAAATTGACCATCTGCCATCTGATTCGTGGAGCAGCCCCAAACTCAGTGGAATTGATTTTGTGTGGAGAGAGCGGGTCATCAGAGGTTATCCTTGTCTTCTTAAAGAAAACATCTTTCTTCTGCAGGTATGAGATTGTTGTGTATAACGCTCTCCTTTGGGATCCAAAAATGTGTTTGGCAAACACAAAACAAAAAAACCTCGACCGGCAAGTTAAGACCTTCACCTAGGGAAATAAAGTTCAAGCCCTGAAAATGGGTTACCTCTTGTAGCAGCTCATACCTAAGTGTGAGATTAACGGACCAGAGGGATTTTTCTGTTTCTTTGTTCAGGCTTTTTGTTTGACATGTAGGCCGCTTTGTTAAGGCCTTTGGCCTTACATGTAGACCGCTTCTTTGTATCATATCAAGTAAGGTTCCAACATCTGTGTTGTAAAATTAAAACCTTGTACCTTTTGAGTACTAAAGTTGGCTTTAATGGCTAACAACAAGAGATACTTAATAATAACAATAATATTTTATATAAAGAAATATGGTAAGGTAAGTGCTCTATGTATGTGTTTATAAATACAGCACATTTTAAAATCCATGTTACTAAGTTCTTCACAAAGTCACAAAAACAGTAAAAGACAGTTTAACATCAAAACTCAAGTAAGATCAGGAAAGGGTCTCTGATAAAAGTAGGTTTTAAGAAGGGACTTTAAGAAGTTCACTGACTCAGCAGCCCTGATTTCCTTGTGCAGGCTGATCCAGAACCATGGGGCCCTGGCTGCAAATGCTCTGTCCCCTCGGGAACAGACAAAGTGAGAGACGAGTAGAGAGAAGTCAGTCCTCCACTTCATTTGCCTACCTTGGCTTTTGCATCGTGCAAATAGTTCTACACAGATGTGAGTGTCTGTCCCTGTGATAGACACTGGCTAATCTCCTCATTATATTGCCCCTGGAATCTGTCGAGGATCTATTCATTAAACATCTCCGGAGACTTGATAGCTATTTATTAATCTCTTGACATGAGTCAGCGTAAGCCTGGTGTTTATTTTGTCCCAATATCTCATTTCTTTTCTTGACAAAAGTTTATTTCTTTCCTCAGAAACTGAACTGCGTGGTTGAGTTTATTTAAAGAGTGTTTTCCTCTGCCTCTTCATTTTGTATTGTGAAAAACTAACCAAGGGTAGTGGGTATAAATGTGTACCCTTTGTGGGGCACAGCACTTCGGCACACCCGCTAAGGTAAACATCCTTGCCGCTGCTCTACAAAACCATCATCAGTTTGTTCACTTTCTCATCAATGGCTACACATATGGTTTCATATATATATACATATGTTGATAAGCCCAACAGGTGTCTAATAATAGACCTGTTTTCCCCACATGGCTCATTCATTCTGAACATTAATAGTGTCATCCCCAGTCCAGATTTCTCGATCATGGCATCAGCCTCATCAGTTTGGCACGACATGGAACTTGGCTTTCTAAAGAAGACAACACCAGTACATTCAAAGTCTTGCCCATTCATCCACACTTCTGGCGTTTTTTTCTGGGTTTGCTGCAAAGGACCCTTTTATTTTTCTGTGCGCCTTACCTTCAGACGCAGAAGCAGCCCCAAGATCTTTGACTCTCTGTCAGAAGCCCCATGCTCAGTCCTCCATCTTCTCGACGATTTTCTTGTCATAACT